AGGGAGGTAACCTTTACAAATATAAAAATAGTATCTAAGCCTGGCTTACTGATTCTTATCCATAAAATCTTATTGGCTTGACATGGTTATCATTTATTTTATCACTCACAGACTTTAAAAGTTATTTTTAGTGAATACCCATATTTGAATAGACGCACCATTTTTTTTTTTTTACTTTATTTCGTCTACTAGCCTGAACATTCGAGAAATTTCATTAAAGAAAAATACATCCTTCGACAGAATATGAACTTTCATCCCCCTTTGCAGGAGAAACTCATTTGATCTGATGTGCTTTTGAACACTCAGCTACAATGAGCGTCATAATCAAGCAAGGTTCTATCTGCATTTAAAGCACACTTTAATCATTCAGATTCCTTCAAAAGTCATAACTGCTCAGTTCTATATCTGAAACAAACAAAGCTATTTCTAAAGAATTAATGGATTTTATTTATTAATTTGACATTTTTATTACTTTAAAATGTTATTTTTAGTGGATACTCATATTTGAGTAGAGGTTCCATTTATTTCAAACAGTATTTCATTTCATCTACTGGCCTGAAGCGCCTACTCAATTATGAGTATTTACTAGAAATGACATTTAAAGTAATAAAAATGTCAGATTAATAAATAAAAATCTATTAATTCTTTAGAAATATATATGCACGTGCGTGTGTATGCAAGAACATGATGATATAGAAATTCTAAATATCAGTCTAAAATTGGAAATTAAATGACAAAAATGAAAAAATTCCTACATAACATATTTCATCATTTAAAAGAACTTGACTAATTTTTTTTATCTTCAGTTTCATACAACATTTCACCTTTTTATTAGCAAAACAAGTATTATTACAGTGTTAAAAGAAAAGGCAGTAAGAAGCTGAATGAAGTCAACTAGGATGTACATGTAGATAAATTGGACACCAGAAGTTTAAATATACCTCCATTTATACCATTTCTCTTGATGTTTAATGATAATCAGTGTTTATTTATATTTTTGCTCCACCACATGATTCCATCAATAAAAAAAATGATTTAATCTGAAATCCTTTTGAAGGATGAAACACCTAACATAGTATTTTTTACATTTTGTCATTTCCTACACACACACACACACATACATACATATATATATATATATATACACACACACACACACACACACACACACACTATCCAGCATCAAGAAAACAGGTTTAAATCCACATCAGTCTATTTTACTAAAGAGGGAGAGCTAGAAAAAAAATTTAGATTTAAATTGATAGAATAAAAAAAAAAAAGATTAAAACCTTCCTTTCTAGATTATAAATAGTAAAGACCCAACTAATTTTGCTTTTTTTATGAAATTGGAATAATGTAATATACAAAAGATATTTGTTGTTTTATGATTATAAAAATGAAAAATAAATAAAATAAAAACAAATCCATGGTTATAAATATTGTTTAGAAAAAGTTTTATTTTCTGTTAAAATCTCCTTAAAATAAATCATTTCTGATCATGTAACATACTCAGTAGTTAGAAAATTTAAAAGGAAAATGTTTTTTGAAATTGAAGATGAATTAAATAAAAAATTTTCATTTTTGTCTTTATTGGGGGCTTCAAGAGTGTTAGCAATTTTGAATAACATTAATTTTGTTACTGATGTCATAAAAATTTAAATAAAATAAAAATAATCCTGCTTAATTCTTGTATATTAAACTAAGTTCTCAATTCATTAACTGTATCAGAAATTTCTGTTATTCACCATTGAGCTATAGAACTGCAATGATAGAATTTCCCATAATTCATAGTTAATGTGCTTAGAGGTTTTTTTTGTTTTGTTTTTTTTTTAAAAAGATCCTTATTAAAAAATGTTTTCCCTATGCAAAAAACAAAACAAAACAAAAAAAAAATTAAGATTATCCAGTGAAAATTGATCAAGAAGAGAATGGACAGGTAGAAGACTCCTATGAAAGGTCAATAATCCTTACATAAAAAAGAAAGTATTCTTCTCCACTAATTTATCACAGGAGTGGAAGAATAGAATTATTTATTAATAAAATTCCTCAGTTTGAATCAAATCCAATTAAAAATTCAATCATAGTAAAAAGCTTCAAAATTTTGATTGTTGAAAATGAATTGTTGCATACAAAATGAAATGAGAAATAAAAAATTTGATATGAGGAATGATAAATTATTTTTCACTCCTAAGTCTCCATTTTCCTTCTTTTTTAGCTACTTTTATTTTAAGTGTTTAATAAACAATATCTCATAGGACTAATTTAGACTAGTGACTGGGATTAAAACTCCTTGTTTTTTTGTTTTTCCATCTTTTATTTTAAGCATTTACAAACAGTTAATTTTAAAATCAAAAAAAGGGAAATTCATAAAAAAATTTCTTCCCAAAGGCAGGAAAATACTGAACTGAAAGCAAACAAAATGCTACACAAACATTTATATACACACTTATTAATATGTATATGAGTGAGTGTATGTAAGGACATACATGCATATATACATATGTGAATGTATACATAATAAAATTGCAGTTATTTACAAATTTAAAATATTCAACTTAAAATAAATGCAGGGCATATTGGGTGTGTGAGGAAGAAAAAAAAGAAAAGAAAAAGGAAATGCACAAGCCATTTGATACTTGTGAACATTGCACCATAGAGTAAAGAATCATCATCATCATCATCATCATAACAAGAAGCATTGTGCTCAGTCACACTACATGCATTCACCTTCTCAACCAATATTAATATAAGTGACACCATAACAGTTGGCAAATGTCCCAAAGAGAAGGAAGAGGAATAGAGCAACTTGATCATTTGTCTATTTGGAAAGAAAAAAAAAAAAAAAAAAAAAAAAAGATATGTGTTTTTATTTTATTTTTCCTTTCTAAACTTCAGATGGAATGTTGACAGGGTAGGGACTGTTTTCAAATATCCCCCCTCCCCTTCATCATTTTCCGACCATTTCTCTTTTTGTAAGAATGTTATTTATTCCCTGATGCTTTGAAAAGGCACTAAAAAGATGCATAAATGTGGTTAATAACAAGTGACACATGACAGTCACATCCTTTGATTAAGGGTTTTTTTTTTTTTGTTACCCCTTTCTCGCATTGAAATCATTCTTCCAAATGTTTGCACAATATTTTCTTCAAAAATGTAGTTTTCCCCAGTTACATTTTTAGTTCTATCCAACATCACAAGAATACTGCTACAAACTGTTCGTTTTTAAAATTTTTTTTTTTTTTGAGTTTTTTTTTTCCTTAATCACCATCTTTTCTCTGGTATATCTAAAAGTTATCTTGGACACACGACAAAGAAAAGCAAGCAACTTCCTGGAGTTGATAGACTAGTAGTCTCCCCTTGTTTTTCCCTACTTTGCTCCATTTAAATGATAAATAGCAGATGGGGAAAATGAATATTTTTGTTGTGGGAAAACATTCCCCTCCTAAACGATTTTCATTTAAGAACACACATCATTTCGTTGAATTGCAATTAGGAAGTCCCAATTAGTTGCTGTGTTTTCTGAAAGAACACAAATATTAGTTGTGTATTAAAAACACAGATACAGCAGCAAAAAGGGATACAACTTAAGAAATTATATGTTTATATACACCTGTACTAACAGAGTGCACATAAAAAAAATGTACTACTGTGATTAGTTCAGAAAAATTCTGTTGAAATCAATAATCCCAAATCAGTAATTAATGATATTTTTTAAAGGGGACAGGATGGAATGTAGTATGTTGATTTTCTTGTTCCTTAGAAATGTTTTATTTGAAAATTTCTGATAGGCATTATCTTCTTTTGCCATATGTGAAATAGAAACGAATGTTAGTTTGAACAGAAAAAAAATTACATAATGAGAATTCTTTATCAAAAAAGAAAAAAGTATGAAATGTATTTTTTGTTTGTTTGTTTGTTTTTTGTTTTTTTTTAATAACCGTGTCGCTTGATTAAAAAGAATGCTGCATGAATATTCCTACAAGGTTCTGGAAATCAAAAATCATCGCATTGTTTCATAGTAATACATTAATCAGGGCATTATATACAAACATATGGAATGTCAAAACAAATACATTCATCAATTTAAAATCGTTACAAAAAAATTCAAGAAAATAAAAAAAAGGCTAAAAGCAAAGCATCTTGGATCAGATACAGCTTAACACTCAATAAAAGAACCATTTTTATAGTTTGTTTCAACTTATTCAGAACCTGGAATATTTCACACCTAATCCACTTCCCACTTTTTTCTGAATACATTTTACAAATAAAAGCTGATATTATTTTAGGGATGGGTGTAGGTGTGTATGAAAGAATAAAAATTGAAACAACAAATTCAAAATGAACAAGTGTGGAATGATAAATTGTTAAAAAAAAAAAAAAAAAAAAAAAAAAAAGTGTTTTTAAGATATGACAGTTTTTTTCTTCCTTTTCACCTGTCTTCATCTTTAGTTATATTTCTCCCCTTGTATATTCTTCTTTTTAAACATCTGCTGTTTTTTGTTTTTTTATTTCCTCTTTTTTTCTTTAAACATTTTTTCACATTGTGCAAGGAGATACTTTTTTTTTTTCCCTTCCACATCATTTTACAATAAAAACTGAAAATACTTTTGTTTTTGAGGCAGGGGCACTGGTGGTTGCTTTGGCCAATGTTAAGCAACATTTTCATCCAACAAAAGCTGGTTGGTCAGTATTTCTGAGTTTGAATTAGGAATGAAATCTTTATGAAATAGAAAATCGAAAAGAAAAAAAAAAAAAAAAAAAAAAGAAAAACTATGATCCACCTCCAAATAAGTCAATCAGGTAACTTACTTTTTTGCATTGTTCATTGACAAGAGATCAAATTTCTCTTGATACAGGAATGTATTTAAAAAGTGGGGAGTTTCTGAGTATTCCCCATTTTCAGGCCACGACACTTGAGATCCCTCCACCCTTGCCAGAGTAGAAGGAGAGGGGGTGAGGAGGTGGGAATGTTGAGTAAACAAGAGGCAATATTTCGGCTGCTACTGGACGGCTTCTAAATTTTCATATCCCTTTAGGTGTTGTTTTTCATGCATCTGCATCTGATTTTTGTCTTTGAAATTCCTTTCACAGTACTGGCACGTGTATGTATCATGTGAGGAGTTGGTCATCACAGGAGTTGACAGTACATGGTTAACAGTAGTCTGTCTTTTTTGATCATCATCTTGAGGAGAATCAACCTCCATATTTGTAGGGTTTGTAGCGGACCTGGACATGCCATCTGATTTGGCGGTGATAGGGGTAAATTTACTGCCTGCATCTGGAGGCACATCATCATTGACATTGTTGGGGGGCTGTGAAGGTGAAGTATTGTTTTGATTTAGAGTTAAGTCTTCAGGAGCAACTTTTTCAATTTCTTGGGAGTCAGTGGCACTCTCTGCTTTACCACATTGATGCACAGTAACGTGTTGCTTTATGTCAGTTTCTTTTGTACAGGTGAATGAACAGTAGGGGCAGGATATCTCATCATCGAGGCCTTCGTGCTGAGACTCATGGAGCCTCATCTCATCAATTGATGTTGTAGAGAAGGAGCAAAGATCACAGCTGTACTCGTCATCAGACTCGTTCTCGTCATATTTTTCCTCTCCTGTAGCACTTTCATTGTTGCGCTCATCTGTTTCAGGTTTTTGGGATGCTTCATTGTGGATTTCCAAGTGCTCGTGAAAAACATAGTAATTACTAGTGCAAAACTTACAATAGTCACACACATAGCGCTGATCCGATTCATGCATTTTCATATGAGAACTGAGTAGATGTTCAGCAGAGCAATGATAAGGACACTTAGGACATCGAATTCTTGATTTGGTGTTCATCTTGCCATCAGCTGGAATGGCTTCCTCACCCTGAGAAATGTGGCTCTTTTCATGTTGCTGGTAGAGATTCCGTCGGTCAGTGCTATAACCACAATACTTGCAAAGATACCGTGGATGAGAATGGTGCAAACCCATGTGGCTTACGAAGGAACTCTTGTTATTACAAGAAAACAGGCACATTTTGCAAGAGTATTGTTTTTTACCCAACAGTCGGGTAGTCGTTTTACTAAAGTGTTTCAGAGGAGGCACTGTCTCCTTATGTTGCAGTGCCGCTTCTCGATTAAGGAAAGTCAGTTCATCTGGATTTGGATCGAAATTTGGCTCCCTGGAATGCACTTTGCGGTGTTGGTTAAGAAGATTCAACCGGTCAGCACTCCAGTTGCAATAGTCACATTTGTATTTCCGCTTCAGTCCATGCATGCGCGAGTGAACATTGAAACTTTTCAAAGAATTCGACATGTAAGGACAGAGCGGACATTTGTAGCGCATGGCTTCATCGTTGCCATCAAGTTGGGTGTCAGTTTCATACAGTTGGTTACTATCCACCTCTTTGGTGACTACTGGACATTTGAAGAGCTTGTCCTTGATTGCATCTTTGGTCTGAGGTGAGCAGGTGCTTTCAGGGGCATTAGAGCTCTCATCTGTGGTGTCCATGTTGCTGGGGAGGTCTTCTGATGGGACATAGGTTGATTGTGGGATATGCAGATGCTGGTGTTGGGACAACAATTTGTAACGGTCCACACTATAGCTGCAAAAATCACAGGTATATTTCATCTGAGCATTGTGACATTGGCAATGTTTCTGGTATTCGTATGATGTACTACAGCTGAATGGGCAAGCATTGCATTGAAAATGTTTGCCCTTTTGATCATCAGCATTACTGTTGGTTTCACCTTCTTTAGAATGTTCCTCTGACTGATTGGGAACAGAAATGCTTTTCGGCAGGTTCTTCACACTCTCCGTTTCATCGGGCTGTACTGTAAATCGACCGCTTACTAAAGAAGAAGAGACTGAAGTCTGTAAGGTTTTCTTTTCAGCATTTAGCAGGTCACTACTATTTTTAAGGCTTTTTACAGAATTCTCATCATAGGGGTCCAGCACAACATCCTGAAAGTCTTTCTCTTGTTCGCCAGGCTCGTCACGATGAAATTTGAGGTGTTGCTGCAGGAGGTATTTGCGGGCAGCACTGTAGTTACAATATGGGCACTTATATCGACTTTTGATTATGTGCTGTTTACGATGCTTGATAATGTTGTTTTTACAGCAGGTGCGATACGGACACTGCATGCATTTGTACCGCACACGGCCAGTGTTCTTAACCTGTTTCAGCATTTGCTGAATGTTCAACTTGTTGCGACGCTCACTGTCATATTTTGATCGAAACTGTACACCCCCGAATGGACGATGGAGGTTGACCTTCGGCTGAGATGTGGTAACAAATCGTGTGTCTGCCTGAGTGGGGATCTGTTTGCTTTGATGATTGTGATGCTGGTGGAGAGGATGGTGGCCACTATTGGTATTGCTAGCATTATTATTGCTGTTTTGTACAGACATATTGTTACTGATGCTGTTGTTGTTGTTATCATTGTCACTGTTGTTACTATTTACCAAATTATTGTTGTTACTATGGAGTGCAGAATGGTCACAGAATAAATTGATGTGATCTACACTAAAACTACAAAATTCACACTGGTACTGTCCTTTGTAACCATGTAGTTCTTGGTGCTCTTGGAGGGAGTCCTTACTGGTTGTCTTGAATGGACATTGCTGACAAGCGAAAACATTCTTGAGGCTTACTTGAGAGGATTGTTGTGAATGCATTTTTGGTTGTCCCAACTGTATGTCATTACAATCACAACTACTTTGGAAGGAATTGTCTAGTGAACAGTTAGAGCCTATTTTTTTGCCACTTTGCTGTTGAGTATGAATAAAGTTTTTGTATTCTGTCTGCTTGTTTACTGGCAATGGTTTTGCATCAAATGTATTACCTGTGCTATGTGTGCGGATATGTGACATTGTAGCATTTACTTTTGGGCTGGTAAATGAACAGGTCGGGCATCTGTACAGATATTTCCCATTTGGATTATTTTCAAGGATAGGAAGAGAAGTTGAAATCTCATTGTTTTTTATCTCAACAGGTTTTGGTGCAATCAATCTCAAATGAGTCTCATTGGAGCTCTCATTTTTTTGGATATATGTTGGTGTAGTGAGGATCACTCTGTTTGGAGTTTCAGCCTTGGAGAGTCCATTGTGGACAGATTTTTCTGAATTTGAGCTGTTGAGGGGTGACTGCTTCACATCATGCCCATGGCTGCCTCGCATATGTTGATGAAGCAGGTTCAGTCGATCAATGCTGTAGTCACAGTACAAACATGTATGTTTGCAGTTGCTGCCATGACGCTCCATATGTCGAGAATATGTGTTGGAGCTGGCTCCAATAAATGGACATTTCTGACATTTGAAGGGGCCTCCTGTCTTGCCTGGGCTAGGATTCTTCTTTGGCTTGATTACAGTGCTTGGCTGAATCTTTTTCGGAGTTTGAGCAATTTTGGGTAGGATTACATTGAATGTAGAATTCTGACTGACAGCCATGCCATTGTATGTGGCAGGAGGAAAGTCATCATATTTGATATTGTTTTCATATTCTTGTTGCTGCAATAATATTGGGTGCACAGATCTGGCATGTTGATAAAGTGTACTGATATGAACAAAAGCTGCCTCACACCATTCACATTGGAGTCGAGCACTCATGTTGGGCTCTTTTTTTGGCATCATACCATTCACCGGCTGTGGTTCTTCAAATGCCAGAGCTTGAATTTCTACTTCTTTTTCCTCTTTCTTTTGCTCAGCCATAGAAGGCCGTTCTCTGTATACATCCATTTGCTCAGGAGGTTCATAATATTCATAAGAAACATCATCCATTTCTTCATTATCTTCATTTGCTTGCCAAACATCCAAAAGGTTTGAATAGTTGAGGATTTCCTTCAACTTAGACTTATCCGAGGGGTCAAATTCCGGATGCAAATGAAGGTGCTGGATCAGGGCAACCTTATTGCTATTAAGGACACTGAAATCACAATAGAAACATTTGACAGCATTTGAACCCTGTGGCTTATGTCTACCCTCATGGATGGAGAGATCATGCTCAGTTAGGCAAACAAATGGACATTTGGGGCATCGGAATTGCTTCATTGGTTTTCGACGGTTTTTTAGATGACGAGTCCGTGACGAAACAGCATTGATAGGCACTGAGGTTTGTTGAGAGATGCTGGAGGAAGTGCTGCTGCTGCTGCTACCGCCACCGCTGCCACCATTGTTGTTTGATGTGTGGCTGTTATCATGTGTTAATCTGTGTTGCAAAAAAGCAGCTAAATCATCAGTAACAAAACTGCATTTGGTGCAGCTTTGTTTGACAGGTTCTTTTAAGGGTTTCTGATAATCGGCAGAATAGAAACTGGAGACACTTCTTGTATCAACGTCATCCGGGAAGTCATCATCCTTGTTAAGCTTCTCATCCATTTGTGACTGGAATGATGAAGAGTGGTCGTACGTAGTTGAGCCTTGATTGGGTTGGTCAGAACCATCTGAATGAGAAGCTGTAGGATCTTGTGGGTGATGATGATTATAAGTGCGGATATGTTTCTTTAAATCACACTTCCAGCGGGAACTGTAAGAACAAACTTCACAGACATACGGTTTGTCTTCAGAGTGTAAGTAAGCATGCCGTTTCAGTTCTGCAGGGCTGTGACCAATAAATTGGCATTCGAGACAGTGGTACAAACCATCATTAACCAAACCTCGAAAAACAGGGTTAGGCCGTGAAGAACTGGAATCCCGTCTCAGATCAAGAAGTGACTGTGAGTGAGATCGCCCATCAGCTGCTGTTGCAGCTGCTGCTGCCGTTGCTGCAGTAGCTGCTGCTGTTGCGGCTACTGAAGCAGCTGACGGTGTTGAGACCCGGCTGGCACTGTTCTTGTAAGAGATCGGAGTTGTTTCCCCATTGGCAACATGGGTATTAGAAAGTTTGGGAATGTTTTGATTGTTGTTGGGCTCTTCCCGCACAGCAAGAACAACATTAGGAGGACCACAACTCTTTTGTTTACTGTTATCGATAACATCTTTTACAGTCCCACCTCCACATCTCTTCATATGCTTTACAACATCCCATTTCCATTTGCTCTTGTAACTGCATTCAGGGCAACAGAATGGCTTTTCATCAGAGTGGTTTTTCATGTGTTGTGTTATTTCCGACGGCCAACGAGCCCTGTATTGGCAAAGAGTACACTTATAAGGTAAAAGAATATCTGCACAGGATTTATCCTTTTCATTGGAATTCAGGGAAGTCTGGCGCCGACTCCTGTTATTTGACATATTTATACGCTGCCTAAGAGCTGCATTGACAGCACGGTGCTGCTCAGCACTCTGTTGACTGGCAGATACTTGGCTTGTGCTGGCTTCCTGGGATTCGCTTGTAGCCAACATAGGCTTCTCTTTCACCAACGAAAATACATTAGTAATTTGGAGCCCAGGTATACCATTATCTTCAGATTCTTTATCATTCTGGAAATTTTTGTCTGTCACATGGTTGAAATTTGGGGGCACTGAAGATGGACGTTCATGTGTTTTGATAGGAGGGGTTCTGTTGTTGTGCCGGAAAGTGTCAAAGGAATTTCGATTTTCTTTTGTGCCAATTTCTGCCTGCTTGGCATCCTCCTGGTAAAATGGATGAAGGGCAGAGGTCAAATCAGTTTCAGATAATCTTCTTTTCTTCATAGGGGATAGTATAAAAGAATCAAGATTTCGGTCAACCAAGGCATCGGCAGTTCTTGAGACAGTAGTTATAGTAGAATCTGACCCAATGCAGGACCCATTCGGACCAGATACTGTTGGTCGTCTTTTGTAGGGATTGGTAAGAGTTGAGTGACTCTTCTCAAAATGTTTTACCAGGTCCCACTTCCATTTGTATGTTGAGCCACATACCATGCAAATAAAAGGACGTTCTTCTGAGTGTGATACAGCATGTTTCTGGAGTTCAGCTGGCCATTTTGCAACAAAATCGCAACGACTGCATTTTAATTGTCGGCTTTCAGTAGGGCTAAATTCACTTGATGCCAAGGGCATCCGTAATAAATGATAAGTTTGCTGGAGTCCATGTGGTATCTTTTGAATGACATCTCGATGTTCTTGAATCTTTTCAACATGGGCCTTTCCGAAATGATTGTTAAGTTCTTCTACACAGTTAAAATGCTGCTGGCACTCAGCACACTTGAAAGCCCGCTTATTCAAGTGCACAGCCATATGTGAACTGTAATCAACGAAGGTCTTGGCAACAAATGCACACTTAATGCACTGCAAGACTGGAGATGCCTGCTGAGAGTCTTCAGGATTTTTGGACATTTCATTCTCATCATCCCAAATTGGCTCGGCTTTCACAGCTACCATTTCTGGTGTAACTGGCATGAATGGCTCTTTTTTAAAAGAGAAATCAAGGGGTTCTCGTTGTGTGCTTCTGGATGAAGAGGTTGTAGGCTTGCTGGACAGATCAAGGGCTTCGTGGTCTACTCCTGGCTGCCCTGAAGATGACTGACTGTTTTCTGTTGAATATATGGGGACATAGGAATTGGTGATGAATGGACCAATCATCTTAGGCATAACACAGTCACTGACAGATGACGATACATCACCACAAGCACTTTCTTCCTCTGTATAGCCGTTTGGCTTACTTTCCTTTTTGAACGCAAATTTATCACAAGCCTCTTGTCTCATATATTCATGAGCACTTTTTGAAGAAATGTGTTTTACAGGATTCAAAGTTGGGGGCACAGCTTTGAGACCATCCAATTTTTCATCTGCGTGCTTCTCTTTCCAGTGTTTGTTTAGAGACTTGCGCCATTTGTAGATATTGCCACATTTTGAACAGGAATACTTAATACCAGAATCATCCATCACTTCAATATACTTGGCAGGATCGACCTCCTGCCGAGTACGTTTTGTCTTTTGCTTCATTGTATCATCAATAACTAGGCCTTCATCAGTGGTGATGTCCATTTCTTCTTCATCTAATTCATCCTCTAAATCATCATCTAGTTTTCTACGAATGTCGTCCTCACCTACCATAGCAATGTCTGAATTGTCGGCCGTGTTATCAGACACTGACATGGAACCCGTAGCACCAGAGGAACTATTATTAAATTCTAGTCCAGGAAAGTGAAGCTTACGATGACGGGGAAGTTTCTGCTTGTATCGTGTTGCATAATCACACACATCACATTCATAGATTGTGAAGTCTTTACCATGAATATCTTTCTGGTGATGAAGAAATACTTTCGCGCTGGTCGATGAAAAATCACAGGATGGGCAAATATACGTTCGGTTTTGAATATTTCCACTTCTTATGGGCGTATGAGAATATGACTCGTCGTGTTCTTCAGCAATTACCAAACGATCGTCGAGTTCATCTTCTTCAGTGTCCTTATAGATGTGATCTCCTGTATTTTCATCGACTTCACGGTTCATTTTAGAAGTATTATTACTGTTGCTGCCAGCCAAGTGGTCAGTTTTGTGATAGCCTGCTGACTGGGGGCTTTGGGATTTTGTGCTCCCTCTTCGACTGCTGTTTTCTTTGCACAATGAATTTTGGGAGCTGCGCGTTTCCTCAGACTCACCGTGTGCAGACAATTGATGCTGCGAAAATTCACGAGAATCTTTGCAAGTAAATTTACACTGTTTGCAGAATCGGTTCCGTCCACCTCTTAATGACGTATCCTCCCCTGTTCCAACACTATTGCTGCTGCTTCCTCCTTTCTTTACTGTAGTCTGTTGTGTGTCAGCCTCTTTGTCTTTAGTTTTGTTGCTCTCCTCGGGGTTGGCCATTTTGTGGAACTCTGAATTGGCAGCACCCTACTGGGGCTCCGGTCAGAAAACTCAGATATCTGAAACAGAAACAAAAATATCCAATTAAAAATAAGCAAGCACTTCATATTTTTAACTGTGCATTCATCTCAAGGTACAAGATTATTTCATAATAATAATAAAAAAGCATGACATAAAGGAGTAAGAATAAAAGAAAAAAAAAGAGAAAAGAAAAGAGAAATGTGAGAAACAAAATTAAGAGAGAAACAAAATTAAGAGAGAAACAAAATTAAGAGAGAAACAAAATTAAGAGAGAAACAAAATTAAGAGAGAAACAAAATTAAGAGAGAAACAAAATTAAGAGAGAAACAAAATTAAGAGAGAAACAAAATTAAGAGAGAAACAAAATTAAGAGAGAAACAAAATTAAGAGAGAAACAAAATTAAGAGAGAAACAAAATTAAGAGAGAAACAAAATTAAGAGAGAAACAAAATTAAGAGAGAAACAAAATTAAGAGAGAAACAAAATTAAGAGAGAAACAAAAGAAAAGAGGCAAAAAAAGAAGAGAAAAAAATGAAAGTGAAAGAAAAAAAAAGAAGCGTAATAATAGGAATAAAAGAAAAAGAAAAGTTTCATAGTTATTTAAAAAAAAAAAAATGTTGGTATATATATTATATAATCTTAGAGCAAGATAGTCTCATAGACCATTATTTTTCAGGTCAGTTCTAACCAGAAATCCACCATCACTTTTGTCATCCTGCGTCAGACATTTTACAAACTTCCTAATAAAAGACATTAATTTCCGTCTGAATTTATGGGATGAGGAGTTATTTACATCTGGAGTATTGTCATCATCTTTGTTATCATCATCACAGTAGCCAAAACATGGTAATAACAAAGATGAGGACAACAGACCTAATAAAAGATTAACACGACATCAATGTTTGGGTGCAAACATAACTTACCAGTTATTTTTCATTAAAAGTTCTATACAGACAAAGGATGATGTTTTATTTATTCAAAAATAAAATGCTACCACTGTCCCATAACTGTTGTTACATTTGCATTTTTATACACAATGTAATGATTTTTATGGAAAATATATCATGAAATAAAAAAGAACAGTTGAATTTTGCTTTTCATTGCAGAAAAACATCCTATTCTATCACATTGTTTTTTTTTTGAATGGTCATTATGATAAAAGATATAAAACAAAAACACTAAGTTTGAAAGACTCACCATTTTATAACTAGTCTAAATAACTTAAGCTGTGAGAAAATTTAAGTAACAAAAAAGTGGGGGGGCTTTATGATCAACATATATTCACAAATGAAATATAAAAATATGAATCGATTGGCATCGGAAATGATAGTTGTCCTTAATGATTTTTCCTAGTTTGCAAAATGTTTTCTAGAAAATTAATGATAAATTTAAATATAAAGAAATATTGCAGCTAAGTTCCATCAAACAGCCTATAGTTGTTTCCCTTGAATCATTTGTCAAATTGATCGTTACACATACACACATTTGAAATTAAATTGAAAGCTTCAAGATAATACTGTACTTTTCCTATTTTTTGCGTCAAAATAGCCATTCCTTTTTAGCAATAAGCACCCATTTGCATATTATATATAATTCCTACCTAACTACATATCATTCTTTTGAAGAAAAACTTTCTTAGATTATGAAATTGAAATATATGATAAAGAGAGTGAATATTTTAGATTCTTTGTTGCTATATTTTGTAAACAGGACAAATATTTAGCACAGAAATGAAAGTAGCTTCAAGACCAAATCAAAATTATTTAAAAATAGCTCATGACCACTGACCTGAATAACATTAAAAGTTTTCAAAGTTTTAATGCAATCTGAACAGTTTTTTCATTATTGTCAATAATAATACTTTTACAATGTAAAAATAGATTTATTTCACTTAATTGATTTGTCTAGCAAGAGGGAGTATTTTTTAACATTCAACGAAGAAACGAGTAGAAGGATTCCTATACATTCTTAATTTTAATGTTTTCTTTCTTTCTCTTGAGTCTGGACCATGTTACTTTTTAATTCTAATTCATTTTTTAAAGTCACGTTTCAAAATAAAGAATGTTTAAAACAGAAGAAAAGTAAAAAAATTAAATGTTCTACCATTGAAAGAGAATGGACATTTTCTTTACTTTTTTTTTTACCTATCAGTTTTTTTGTTCTCTACATTTTATAATTCAAAGGTGTTTCAGTTTCAACTCTGAAAATAATTCTCAGAAATATTTTTCTTGCATAATTTTTTTTTTCTTTTACTAAGAATTATTTTTGAATCGGTAATATTTAAAATAAGGTAAAAATTAACATTTAAACAGAAACACTAAGTAAAAAAAACAAACAATCATTGATGTTCGATATGCAACAACTTTTCTTTTCGGGTGTGAGTAAAACTGGTATTTTTAACATTTTCTGATATAATTTTCCAAAAGTTATTTTTCGTTTGAATAACAAAGTAAAAAATTCAGTCATTTCAAAAACCTTTGAAGAAAAGGCAGTGGGACACTTCTCCGCTCTTTCACAAATCATTTTCTTAACTAGAAGTGAAAAACTAAAAGTGGAAGAAATTTTACAAGAGGGATTTGCTCTATTTGTTAAATTATTCCTGTTCTCTTTAAAATAAACTAGAGTTTACAAGTGAAAAATGTTTATTTACATCTACTGAGAAAGATTATCTAGACATTTTCATGAAAATATTTTCTATATATTAAATTTCTTTCTTGTTTTCATGCATTTGTTTTTAATAAATGGCTTACAAAATATTTATTTTAAAGAAATAATGTTGTTTTAGCGGAGACATTTTACATTTTTTACAAGTTGAAATTTTAATGCTAAATGCAGTTGTTCTTCACTAGTTTTAAAACTAAACAATTTCCTTAGCAAAAGTAGCAATAGAAAATGTTCAAAAGCAGGTTTTTATTTACATTAATTTATCTTTAGAATCAAAAGATTAGAATTTTGTTTCAAACAAGAATCACCCAAAAAACAAGTAATGTTTTAGTTTTTATAATCGTTTATTCTATGATTTATGATTAGAGACAAAGAATTTTAATTAAAAATAGTTGCATACAAGTCCGAAGTATAGGTAAAAGAATGAAGTTGAAAGCCAATTCAAATGGAATTAAATTTAAAGTAATTATACAGAAATTAATGCGGCTTTATTACGTGCTGTAAATTCTCTTGTACGATTTGTTAAACACTAAAAACAGCATGGAGGCAATAAACCACCTCAGGCTTTCCTCAATCTTTCTCAACATGTACGTTAAACAAAACGAGAGGCTCTTTATGCCGAGTGAACGGGCAGCCGGTGCAGGTTCAGGAGTTTCACAAGGGACTGCTTTTATTCTGGGAGACATTTGGTTATTATTAACATCTTTAAAAAAGGAAACTGGTGTTTCAAAGGGGGTAATTGTCTAACGACGGATTGACAGCCACCTTAGTACTTTCTGGTCAATGCTGGTCACCCTATTGACAAGGGACAGAGAAGATAGGGCAGAAGAGTAGGAGAAAGAAAGAAAGAAACAATGGCATTCGCATTGATTAACCAACACTACTAACAGCACCTATAAAATTTCCCGTAAACAGTAACAGAAGTTATAAATCAACTAATAACGAAAAGTATTGTAGAAAGAGGAAGATAACGAAGGAAAAAAAATTGGCGGGATTTTATTTATTTTTAACTTAAAGATTTTTAAGTACAGTAATTTCATTTATTTTAAACTTTTCTTTGGTGTGAAATTCGATCCTATACAAAAAATAATAAAAAAAAAAAGAAGAAAGAAAGCAGTTTGTATTTATTTCCAGTATTATGATCAGAAATATTTGTTTTTAAATTAAAAAGAAAAATCTGTTATGTTTGAAAAGAGCGCTTTTTAAAATTTTGGAACTAAAATTAACTGTCATCGGAATTTTAAATTTACACAAAATAGGTCATTTGACTTTTAAATCTAAAATAAAATTCAACTTATTACAAAACCCCCCCCAAAAAACAATCAGTTAGGAGGGGCAAGTGTTAGTTACAACATGGGCAGATTTATTTCGTTAGAAATAAAATCCTACAAATGAAAATGAGATCATAGAAAAGTTGCATTATTTGGAGCTCAGGCAACGGTTATTTATTAGACACAGAAGAGGAGGAGGTATGGTATCTGATGATACCAGCCTTCACCTGTCCGTTGCAAATCCAAGAGCGAATTTTAACAAAGATTATATATATATATATATATATATATATATATATATATATATATATATATATATATAGAGAGAGAGAGAGAGAGAGTATTAAAAGAAAAAACGAAAGTATTATTATTTTAAAACGTTCACTTTCTTAAATTCATAATCGGAAGACAAATTCTTTTATAAATGGCAGTGTCACCAAAGAGAAGGAAGTGATCGAGTGAAGTACCTGCCTTTACCTACGATCTCATTATTCGACCCCCACCCCACCCCCACTTCTACAGTCAATCCAACTTGGGACTCCTCCTCCTAACTTCACCTTCCCGGTAGACACTTTTTTTTCTTCTTAAATCAGAAACTAAGAGCCAAACGTAGTAACGAAGTGTCTCTTCCCTTCGCCTTTTAACTACAAAGTGACTAGCAGTCAACTGCTGGAACAGGTGACTCATAAGAAAAAGTAAAAGAAAAAAAAATCTCCTGGAGGCTGGAAGAGAAGAAAAAAAAAGAAAAAAGTGAGGGGTTGGGTGAAAGGCCATAATCTAAGTTCAAGACCGAGAGAGAAAAATGTATTCATAAAGGGTACTGTAAGAACAAGAGGTGGTCTGTAGGTGAAAGAGGACATTCTTCAAATATCACCCAGTTGTTCACTTCAGCAGCAGTAACTATTGCTACCCCCCAACACTCAAATTAAAAAAAGAAGAAACAATTAAACTTATGAAAGACATTATTAGGCAAATGCAGAATGAATTACTAAATGTAAAGAAAAAAAATGAAATTTAAATAAGAATTCAATATAGTATACAATC